CTACTTGAATAAAAACTTATTAAATAATCAATTTATATAGATGTTAGTACTTGTAAATTTCAATTTATGCAGAATGATTGATGATAAAAGTAGGTAAGTAATCACAATGGTTTCAGAACTGAAACCTGAAAGAATTTTATCCACTTTACCTTTTATCTAGACGAATGTTTAAATATATGCTTCTAAAGGATAGTATAGTTGGTCTTTATTTAGAAAATATGGATATTTTGCTCGTTAATTTCCGTGTAGTAACAGCATAGATTGACCCTGAGGTTCTGGTGCCTATTTTTGCCTGGATGCCCTTATGAAAACGTTCTGGCTACGTCTCTGCTGATTGGAAACCATTCCTTCTCAGATTTCTGCAGAAATCCTGTGTTTCACAAAGAGCTGCGATTATGCAACACCTGGATGGCTCTGCAGGAGTTTGGGAGGAATAAGGGTTTAGATTCTCTGTAACTCTGAGATCAGTTGGATTTCCTGTAGTTGAAGCTCTGATGATGTTTGGTGACCAGCAGCAGGAAGGAAAACTGTCTGGAGCTGCTTCTCCTGCAGCTCTGCTGGTTTTCTTCCCACACCGGGAATGAATGCTCAGCGGAAATGCGGTGCAGCTTTAAAATCAACAAACGCATTAATCCCAAAAAGAAAAAAAATCCTGTAATCTTGTTGTGTGGATTTTCCAGCATCCACTGCAGTCAGCTCAGTGTTTCATCATCAGGATGCTGCTGCTGTCCCTCAGAGGAGCCACGCATCCATCCCGCACACAAACGCAAAAGATGCGGGGCTCCAGCCTGCCTGCGGGTTTACATAAGAACTCTGAGAACATGCTGCGTGTCTGCCGTGGCCAGCAGGAGGTGATGAAGCAACAGCTTCTGACCCGCAGCTGCTTCAGCCTGACTGCAGGAAAAGAGCCCAACTCAGCAGGCTGCACCGCACTGCGCCCCGCAACATCCCGCCCAGCACCACTGACTCCACGCAGAGACCTTCCTGCAAACTCCTGCCTGCCGCACCTCCATCATCACCTCCATCCATCCTCCCTGACCAATGACTCGGATGAAGCGGAGCTGTCATCCCAATGCGGTAAACTCCCTGCCATCCATCCCGCATCGCTCACAGACGCATTGAGCCCGCATCGGCCCGCAGAGGCACCGGGAGGAGACTTACTGTTCGCAGGAACTGGATCTCATCCTCTCCCTCTGCCAGGTCAGCCATGGTGAGCGGAGCTGCCTCCCGCGTCGCACCGCAGAGTGATCCAGCCTGGAGGGGGGGGGGGGGGGGATGCTGCGGCTGAGGCGGTGGGAGCAGGAGGAGGAGGAGGAGGAGGAGGAGCTCACTGGATGGCGGCGCGCGCGCCTGGCGGAGGAGCAGCTCAGGTGAGCATGTGCGCCCTCTGCTGGTGGACGCGGGGAGAGCTGAGAAATAAGCCGCTCCTTTTGGGCAGAAATTAACAAATTAGATCAACATCCTCTCTGGTTCAGAAAGATTCACTGTGAAAAAACCGACACTGAATCCCAGCAGTTCAATTCTATTCATTTTATTTCTATAGCGCCAAATTCACA